CATCGCAAATCGACAGCTATAATTTAAATCTCCAATTATGAGTTATTTTTCTGAACTTTAGCTCTTATTTTATGTATTTTCTGTTTTACCCCTAGGTTGGTTTATGTGAGTGTTGTGACCCAAGTGACAATTTTGTATTTTGAGTTTTTTATGTTATGGCCTATATATAGAGCCTTAAGCTATTGTAATAGGGATGGATTATTGATATTAAAAAATTTGTGTTCCACACTTGTGTTCTTGTAAGATCCAAAATTTTCAGGTATGTAAAATTTAAAATTTATTTAAGCATATTTTAAAACTTATTTTAAAATTAATGATATTTGGGATTAAATTAAGTATGTTTGGTATTAATTCTAAAATACTTTATTATATATTAACTGTTATTATATTAAATCAAAGCACTAGTAATAAATGTATTTAAATAATAGTTGTACGTCCCATTACCCTATTAAATTAATCCTTTTATAATTCCAGTACTAGGCGTGCATTGGTTGAAATGAAGGGATGTGATGTTTGGCATATCAAGCATATTGATATTTCATAAAATAGGCTTACGGTTTTGAGTGGCGTGCAAAGCAGAAGATAATTATGAAGTATTGCTTGTGAAGTCTGTAGCGGTGTGAAGGAAAAGTGAGAGTGAAGAAGTGGTGTGGGGTAAGCATTATTCCGTGCGATGAAGAGTTTTCGGCTCATGCAAGCAGTAGTTTTCCCGTAACCATCAGAGAGCAGTCGGCATTCTCTGTTCGCAGGAATCCTGTAGTTTAGTTCGCTACAGTGTCGCGGGACTGTAGCAAGGTCCGGCTGAAGGATTTCGGCAAAGCAATTGGGTTCTGTATCAGTTTAAATAGTGAGAATGAGACTTTGGAAGTCAGCCAGAGAAGGAATTTTGGTAAAAACTGGAAGAAAATCCTGCTGCTATCAAGTATTGGAATAGGTAAAGATTTTAATGGAAGTTTTTTTTATATATTTTTTATGATAATTGATTGAGATTTAAGTGATTATGATCTTAAGTTTAGGATTTATACTATCAAGAGAAAGAGCGAAGATAAATCATTTCAATTAACGAAGGATAATAGAGAATTGAAGGAAAGAAAGAATATAAGTTATTTTAGTATTTGCTTAGTATGGAATTTTCTATTAGTAGTAAAAGTTCTTGAATATGTTATAACATATGGTGTACTAGATAAATTTGGTCATATGCAAAGAGAAAGCTTTGAAGTGACATACAATCGTAGAAGAATTCGAAGTAGAGGATTGGAGGAAATTTTTTGTCAAGAAAGTAAGTAATGTCAAATTAATGTTTAAAGAAAGTTATGTATTATGATGAATTTATTTTCTTTAAAATGTTTTCTTCAAGCTTTTGAATATGAGCTACTGCTTATACCTTTTGTTATAAAATATGTTCACATAAGGTTTGGTTACATCATTCAAATGGTTCTATGTAAGAATGTTTGAAAGAATGTAAAGTTCTTAAAAATTTATGCATATTACTTATACCCAAGATATGTCATGAATGATAATGAAGATTGATATAATATGAATTATGAAAGAATGTTGAATGCTAAATTAATATAAAGTTTGGCTATGAATAATGTATGCCTTATTATTGTAGTTGGGACAAAAGGGTTCCCATATCAGAACTACATGATAAGTGGGGCAAAAGGGACCCCAGTGGCAAAAGGGACCCTAGAGAATTATGAAGCCTGCATAGCAGGTGGGGCAAAAGGGACCCCAAAAGAGGCAAAAGGGACCTCTATGTAATTCAATGGCGATAATGTCAGGTTTACTTGGGCTCCATTGAATAATGTTATGAAAAATATAGCCAAATCTTTCACATAAAATTTATATTCAACAAAGATTTAAAAGATAGCAAAGCATAATATTGATCAAGACTAATAATGTTTCAATAATAATTTTCAAAGTTGTAATTATTCATGTTATATTATTTTAATTGCTAATTAATCTAACATTACTTACTAAGCCTCATAGCTCACCAGAACTTTCTTCTAGCTGTTGTTATAGAAAAGGGAAAAGAGAAGATTGACGCATGTTAATTTATGCAAGTGTTTCTTCTTTTCATGTTAGATTACATTTTGTTAGTAAGTTTAATTTTCAAGGTATGAAAGCAAATTAGACATGTATTACTTTGAAATTATTTGGTTTTCCTTAGTGGGCTCTGTACTGGGTTTTTGATGAAATTGGAAATTGGTACATGCTTCATTTATAGTAGTATTAGATGAAGTTTATATGATCTTTTATATGAAGTCTTAATGTAATGAAATCATAATGAGATGTGTAGTGATAGAAATGTATGTTTATTCTTGTTACACTCTACCTTACTGTTAAGGGGTATTGTGGGGTGTTACAGTTCTTATGGAGAGGACGATAGTGAGATTTCTATGGGAGGAATCAGAGTTGTCACTAACCGCAGGATGGGTTCGGGCTCGTGACTTGAAGTCCCTTGGAGAAGGGCAAAGCATCACCCGTCAGTCTTCATAAGAGTCCAAGGCTCGCAGTTTTTAATTTCTCTCTTTCGCTTTATCTTCTAACTTTCGTTGTTTTTGTTTTGTTCCCTCTTTTGTTCCTAGCCATCATTTTTCTTCCTCCTCCCCTCTCAACCCCTCGGCCAAACAGCCATACCGAGCTCCTCCAAAAGCCACCGGCCACCTCACCAGAAAAGCCACCAAATCGCCGGCCACGGCTCCCTAGCCGCCGACCTCATCCTTTCTCCACTCTCATTGGATTTCCTAATTTGGGGTGCATGATGTTAGGATTTAATTTGAAATTCAAATTGTTTAAAATTTGAAATTCAAATTGTTTAAAATTTGAAATTCAAATTTATTTCCGAATTTAGCTCACCTATTTTTGGAAAGTGCTCAATTGAAATTATAAACCCATGACAATTTTGGATTTCAAATTTCAAATTTGAAAATTTTCATAATTGGGTTTGATCCACATTTGAAAGGTTTTAACTCTCCAATTCAAAATTCAAATTTGAATTAGGAGTTAAATGCCCCTTTTCCCAACATCTTTACATTGGTTTTATACACTAAACCCTTCCCAAACTCCTCCCACATGGAGTCTGCTATTTTCTAAGACTGCCGTCAAGGAATTCCAACCCTTGCTCTCACGTCTCCAATAATCGTAAGCCTAATAACTGCTGTTTGGGAAGATCAAACTGCTGTCCAGCAGTTTTCGCTAGACTGTTTTCACTACAGCACCATTGGAGAAGTCTCCCCTTGTCATACAACCCTTCCCAAAGTCAAAAAAGTGACTTCTCGCATGGAGGGCTGACCCGGGCACAGAATATGACCCCTCCTACAACAAAACTCCTTCAACATATCGACTACTTGTTTCCGAACTTTGACTAAGTGCTTGGCATGTAACTTAGCCTAAACGGAGCCTCCTTTTCCCGTTCTACATCAATCATTCATTGCATATAATTGCACTCATAATTAGAAAAGTATCTTACAAGCATCATCTATTATAAGATGATATTAAGTGTGTGATAAAAAAAGTAATCTAAGAATAATCAAACCAAATAAATTATGAATTTTCATGACAAGTTTTATAAGTGGATCCTCTAAATAAAGCAATATTTGATTGCATATCTATTACACAAATAATTTTATTAAGATAGGTGCTGACATGCCCAAATATGACATTCAAATAAGGTAAGTGATAACATGACAAGTGAATACCTCTTACATGAAGATTAAACAAGGAATATTTGTTTTCAAAACAATAATAATAATAATTTCAAAGCTCATTCATAAGATGCAGTGATTGTACAACATTTTTTATTAAGGGTTTGTTTTTTCGGATGTACTTGAAGTATAAATCAAATAAGAAAGCCTTGAAAATTTAGGTGTTTGGTTGGTAGAGAAAATTTAGGTGTTTGGTTGGTAGAGAAACAAATGCCAAGTTTTTGTATTGAGGAGTTCAAAATACATCACTTGGTTCAATTTCAGTGTATTCTAAATTCCTCAAAGTTGGATGAATTCAGAATACATCATGTGCGATCCTAGTTACCTACCAATAACCTTGAGCTGAGACAATGACAACCTACAATCGCGAATACGAATGCAACCTCCCATCCAAGCTGACAACAACCATTGCTATCTCACACCCACCCTAGCAACGCCTCCGCTCCTTGCTACCTCGCCTCCACCTCGTCAACTCATTCCTCACACATGGGACTACAACAACCCTCGTGAGCACAACCTCACAACCACCTCTCAGTCTCTCACCATCTCACACCTGCCTCTTGCAACTTCGCATCAAAGACGATGATGACCCAACATCAAATAAATTTCACTAAATACAGTGCCACCATTGCAAGATCATTTCGCTCATGCCCCAGGTTGGTTTCTATTTTTATTTTTTTTATTTATTTTTATTAGTTCCAACCAAACCCAAGAAAATGATCCCCTAAATTTCGAATGCGCTGTCTTTACTTTAAAAATTGCATTTAAGATTCCTCTGAGTTTTAAATGCTTGCAACCAAACTGCCCCTAAGAAATTTGTTTTATTTTTTTCCAAAAATATCATTTGATTTCAACATCCATCACCACTGGATCTAACGCTTTGTGGTAATTCTTCTAAACAAATCTATAAACACATGTAAAGATACAGATCTTAATTAGACAAAAAAAAAACTATGTCCCATTCCTCGGACAATATCCCCCTAAGTACTCGAAGTTGAGTAAGATCCTCCTCAAGGTCTCGTTTATAAAAAATCTCGGAATAATTTTCAACCCGCCCGATTAAAAAAAAAAAAAACTGGGAGAATCTGTCAAAGCTAGAATCTACCAAGAAACGCAGAAACGATAATTTACTTCGCTGCAGATGGAAAACGAACAAAGAACCTCTTACCTCAATGTGTAACACATAACTCGGCCAAACGATAACTAAATCCTTAACGAAGACACAAAACACAAGCAAAGAGCCGGGTGGAAGTTTCGAATTGAAACGCTTGTTACACATCAAATGAACTGCACCTGAAGGGCCTTGACGAAGCTCTTGCTCCTCTCCATGGAGACCTCATCGAAGGTCATGACCGCGCTCTCCGGCCGCCACTGCTGCATTCTCACCCCTTCCCGATTTCGAGAACAGCTCCAGAAAGCAAGGAGACAAAACAGGAAAATAAACCAAAAGAAGAGAGTAAACCCTAAGGCAGGCTGCCCTTTCTTAAATGGAATATCAGTAAAGGTGGATGCTGAGCTAGCCGCTCCCTTATCAATGTGCGTTGGGGAGTAGCGAGGATATTAAAGAAGAGAAAGAGACAGAGAGTAGAGTTGAAGCAATGCCGCGACTTGAGCTACGGATCTTCCATGTAACAGGCGGGGAAATGGGCATTGATGAGGAGTGAGTGGAGTTGGTAGAGGTGGAGAAGAGCTGGTGATGCGATGAACCGAAGCTACCGAAAAGCTCGGCTGGGTCAGGTTGTTGTATCACCGCAAAGAAAGCATGATTTGATTCGCTTTTCGGTAGCGGCTGGTTCTAGAGTGATGATGCTAGATGGTCGAAAGCGACTCGGACGATTAAGATCCTGGCTTTTTATCTAATTTCATTGAGTGGGCAACAAAAACTATTTGAGTAATGATGTTCAGCTCAATTGAAATAGTTTGAATTGGTGAGTCTGTAAAGTACATACTAAAATGAAATACATGATAAAATGAATATATTATATTTGAAATTTTTTTAATTATTTGAATGTGTCTAAAATAAATGTAAATGATTATTTTTTATTTGATTTAAAGTAAAATAAATGCAGAAAAAGTCTAACGGTGGTGATGATGAACATGGTGATTGCAGACGACAATAGCCTACGACGGGCGACAGCTGATGGCTGCCATGTTGAGCGAGAAAGATAGCAACCAACAACAACATTTAACAATGTTGGGTGGCAAGAGCGGCATTAGATAAATGTCAGTAGTGGCAACAGTAGCAATGGTAAATATTTTATAGTGTTTTTGGCACTACGATTTGTAAAATCGACGTAGAGTATTCCAAATGCAAATAATTTAAAAATATTGGCACTTTATTTGAAAAGAATTACACAGTGAAAATTTGATGTATTTGGAATTTATCCGATGTTGTCACCACCTTCTCACCACTGCTCGTCAACGGCACTGCCACTAAATTCCAGTTGAATCCACCAGCATCACACGTCAAAAATAATCATCACATTTATTTTAGACTTATCCAAGTAAATCAAAACATTTCAAATGCATCACATTCCTTTTTCAGCCTAATTTTTCATGGGGATTCAACAAAAAAATTAGAAAGAGCTTCACTAACACGAAAAAAATTTAAAACGTGAAAAACCACACGACCCCACCCAATTGAAATGATTCCATTGTATGAGCATTATCATATAAGTCTGCCCATCTCTTAATTTAAAGATGACAATATTCAAAAATATGAGGAGCTCGTAGAAAATATCACCAAGTCAATATAAGGTGAAAGGCATTTGAACGATTGAGGTCAAGTGATAATGTTCGATGTAGTTGGTGGTGGGTAAGGGTGGTCGAAGTCTAACGACAGTCGGTGGCAGAGTAGTGGGCCTATAGTGGTCTGCAGACAGACGATGGTCTGGCAGCGGTCAGCAGACAAGCTATGATCAATCGTTAGTTGACGAAAGTTCGCCAACAGTGGTGCTTGGGTAGAACTTTAGGATCATCAAAGCCTTAGAGATTTCTCCCGCCTCTAGTCAAAAGGCTCAAGCTTGCAAAGTTTCAATACCCCCTTTTCATGTGAGAAATGGGGGGCTATCTATAGATTTTTTAGAGTTGCATGTCTTGTAAATATGGATAAGATACGGGGCAAATTCAGAGTGCCCCATCGAACAACACATGTTGATCACCTCGATCATAGAGCATTTACAAGCATTTATGTGCTCAAATGATATTAGAATTAAGCAATCTTGGGCTCATTGTATTTATCTCGTGAGCTGCTCGATTCGACTATAAACATGTAGCTATCATTTGATTGTCAAATTTACGTTTTGAATCTTCTAAATACACTTCAGTCTCTTGATTGGATTCACTTGAGTGCGGATCGAACCAATTTTGGTGTCATTGGGTTCGCCTCTCTGAGTTGCTCAATTTGACTATAATTTTGTTGAAATTGGAATTCATATAGTCCCAAATTCAATATTAGAAAATTTCAACTTAAATATGCCTTGACATTCGTGCTCGATCAAGAAAATTTTTGGTGATGTATCAACTCTATCGAACTACCCTTAATCAAACAACATTCATTCAGTGGTTTAAGTGCATTAATGCTATTAAAATTAGGCAATAATAATATGTTCATTGGATTCATCTCATCAAGACTTTCGATTTGAGTATAAGCATGCCAAATTTAAATATCATTGTTCCGCCACTTCATATCTCGAGATTTTCAATTCAAGCTCTTGATCAGGGCTTATTTAAATCCAAATCAGATTATTTTTTCTAACATTAGTTTCATCTCATGCCAATAGATTTGAATATAAGTTTATTAAATTTGAAGTTTGGATGATTTTGAATGAAAAAAAAATTGTTAAATCCACATGAGAGTAAATTAAATAATAGAAACTTAAAAAAGAAAACTAAAATAGTACACAAATAGTGTTCTTATCCAATAGTTTGAGCTCCAGAATTGACCCGTCCATTACAAGTACTGTTCCAACCTATTAATAAAAAAATTATATATATTTCATTTTTTATGTTCAATTATTGCACCTTTAACTTAGTTAGGTTTCTTTGAGGCTGAATTTCTTATTATTTCTTAAACTACTTTTTTAGTTAAAAAACTAACTTTTTTTACTTAAAAATTGTTTTAAGAAGACTTCTCAAACGAACTCTTAGGTCTCATTTGTGACAGATTTTTTCTACTTTTTTTTTTACTTTTATGCTGAAAATTTATTTTTTAAAACATAAAAAAGCTTTCATTTGTGATAGTTTTTTTTTTATACTTTCTAAAATATTTTTAGTAAGAAAATTTTAATTCAATTATTTTAAAAAATAATCCATAAATGAATCTTAGTCTTCATTTGGAACGGCTTTCTTACTAATTTTTAAAACAATTTTCTAGCACAAAAATTTGAGTTAAAACAATTTATATTAAAAAGTTGTTTTAAAAAGGATTAAGAAAGCTGCCCCAAATGGGGTCTTCGAATATTTGAGATGATTTTTTTTTTTTTTACTAAGGCCCTGTTTAAGACAAAATATAAAAAAAATCCAAACAAAACCTTCATCTCACCGAGAAATTATTGGGTCAGGTTACCATACATATTCGGATCCCAATGAAAATGGGCCACATCACCTCCTACTCAATACTGAGTAGTAAGAAACAGTACCGAGCTCGATAATGCTCAATACCGAGCTCAGTACTGCTCGGTACTCAGTACTTCACAGTACCGAGCTCAATAATGCTCATTACTGTGAATACCAAACATAAGATGTGTCCGGTGACTTGACCCACTAATTACCCCATCTGGCGAGACCACGGACGTACGGTGCCTTGCTTCTTCTCGGTATATACAATTCTACACATATCTCAAGATTTTCAATTCAAGCTCTTGATCAGGGCTTATTTAAATCCAAATCAGATTATTTTTTCTAACATTAGTTTCATCTCATGCCAATAGATTTGAATATAAGTTTATTAAATTTGAAGTTTGGATGATTTTGAATGAAAAAAAAAATTGTTAAATCCACATGAGAGTAAATTAATAAGAAACAGTACCGAGCTCGGTACTGTTCAATATCGAGCTCAGTACTACTCGGTACTCAGTACTTCACAGTACCGAGCTCAGTACTGCTCAGTACTGTAAATATCAAACATAAGCTGTGTGCGATGATTCTGACCCAATAATTTCTCCATCTCGCGAGACCACGGACGTACAGTGCAAACCTGCTTAGAAAAGAGTAATAGTTCTCTTTGGGCTGCTGCAATTTGTTTGAGATTGGGGGCTAAAAATACACAACTCTCTCTAACATAAATAATTTAATTAAAATTACTTTATAATCGAATCAGAATTATTGACGGATATTATTATACTTTAACATTTCGTAATATAAAATAATTGTGATTAAATAAATTATATTTATTTTATTGAATAATGTCCACTAAAAAAATATTATTAAAGACTGTCACATGAGCGGTCGACGCAACAAATATTTTGTATGATTTTGCCACGCGGCCAAGCACATGATGAGACCTGCTGGTATCTTTTATTGCTCATTTATTAATACATTGAAGTCTTCATGTGTGGTCTACTTTGTCGAGGTTTTTTCAAATTAATAGGCTTTTTTTTGTTATTTAGATAAATTAAGATATATTTATACACATATTATATACGTAAGACTCGAATTCAAAATATCTTAGTTGTTAACCTAAGCTCACAATTAATAGATCAAATTGAGTTGAGTAATAGGCTTATACATCAAGCTGAGTTGTGTAATAGGCTCATCTTAATTTGTTGGTTGATTATGAGTTTTATCTATTAATTAAGTGATCTTGATTTTGAGTCTTACATATAAGATATATATGAGTTTATTTAATTGACCAAAATGCAAATCAAAAGTATTTTCAAATTTATTTAGTGGTTGAAGTGAATGTTGTGTGCTTATATGTGAAACATTGTTTTTTTTTTTTTTTTTGAAAAATAGAGCAGAATATTTTAGACAATTTTTTTTTTAATGTATTTAAAATTTAATAGTGTTGCGGGCTAAAATTTCACGGCAGTAGAGCGAGTGGATTTTCCGTCTTAGCGAAGCATGAATATCCAGCACACAAATAAGAAGTTGAAGAAAGGTCAGCAAAAAACCACAAACTGTTTATGTGAAATATCCAAATAGGGGAAAATCACGAGGCCTCATCTAGGTGAAAAAATTACACTAGATTTCTGTGAATTATAAAAGTTGACCCATCCCTTAACTTAAAGGCAGTGAAATTATAATAGTTTGGAAAGTTGGGGGGAAGTTCGGTAATGGTTGGTGGCGCGACGGTGGTTGGGTGGGAATCCAATGGCGGTCGATGGCAGTGGAAGTTCAGTGGTTGACGATGGTAGGGTAATGATCCGATAATAGCCCACGGAGGTTCGTCGGCGGTGGTTCATAAGCTCTTGAAGCTTCAAAGTTCTCTATAATCTCCAGCCGAATGTCCACATCATGTAAAGAGCGATGGTCTATTTATAAATTTTCATGAGTGCCACGCCTTATAAAATATGGAGATGCTTGGAAGTAAATATGGAGTGTTCCATCAGACGGCCTGTATTGATCCCTCTTATTATAGTGTATTATTTTCCAAGCATTTATGTATCGTAATGATGTCAAAATTAAGCAACCTTGGGCTTGTTGGGTTCGTCTTGTTGAGCCGCTCGATTCGAGCTTAAGCATGTCATATGCATATATCATTTGTGCATCCAATTTATGTTTTGAACATTCCAAATGTGCTTCAATCTCTTAATTAGGGCCCACTTGGGCTCGGATTAGATCAATGTTCGTATCATCAAGTTATTCTCATCGAGACATTTAGTTTGACA